ATGGTACAGCATCCTCTACTGTCAACACCCTGCACCAGAGTGGCAGATTTGTGCTTACATTGATGACCTTACATTGTACACCATTATTAACCAAAGCCCATGGTTAATGTTAGGGTTCACTTTTGGTGAGTTATATATTCTATGCCTTTGTAAGGATACATAATGATATAAAGAATAATTTCACTGTCATAAAAATCTTCTGTTCTCTGCCTACTCATTCCCCTTTCCCCCCAATTTTGACAAAGACTGATCTTTTTATTTTCTCCCTGTCTTCATAATTTTATGAGAGGCCATTATAACTCCAAAGTTTTCTTTGGTTTTCTACTTTGTACTAGATGGGAGGTATGGAATCATGGTGGAATAATAGAGTCAATCCCCACCCCCACCCCCACTCCAGCTAAGAGGTAGGGACAGAAAAAATACAAGCAGACAAATGAATAAAATAATTACAATATAACTGAAAGAGATGCTGAGAGAGAAGGGAGGCAAGGCTACTTTACAGGGAGCACAGAGATGACACATAAGCTAAAACCCCAGAATGAAGTTGGATAGTAAGAGTGATAGAAGATTAAAAAAGCAGAGACTTGGAATGTGTAAAATTTCAGAGCCAGGAAGGAGTAGGATTATCTGAGGATCTGAGAGCTCCAGGGACTAGTTCTTTGTAAAGGTCTCTGTATAATGCTAGAGAGGCCATGGGGAGTTCAGTTTTGCTGGCCTGATAGGTCCTGATAAGAAATTGGGATTTTACTCCATTTGCTGTAGAAAGTTTCTAAAGGCTTTACCGAGAGGAGTAACATTATCTCATCATGTTCTAAGAAGCTTACATTGAGGTTAATGTTTTACCCTTTGCTTTATCATTTATCCTCTCTTCCTCTACAATTTTTTTTTCCATATGGATATAAGTTACATACAACTTGACTAAATACTTTAGCTTGCTTTTATGAAAAATGGAGACACTCTGTTTTTTTAATACTTATCAATATCATGAATTTATATCAACACAATATTTTTATCTAATATGCCATCCATTTTCCATTTTAGTTTGTTGGTCTAATTATGCTCTTTATAAAAGCATTTTGCCCCCTTCAGGATCCAATCTGGGGTCAAGTATTGCATTTAATTATCATGATTATTCAGCTTTTTTAAATCTGGAACATTTCTAGAGATTGTATTTTATGATGTCAATGTTTTTGAAAAACATTTTCTCCCCTTCACTATTTAAACAATATGTACCTTATTTTGTATTTGTGTGACATTTCTCTGGGATTAAATAGGGGTTATGTATTCTAGGAATGAATTCTGTATAATGGATTATGCCTTCTTTGCAATGTTACATCTGGAGACTCATGAAGCCTACCTGTTCCTTATAGATGATGTTAATTTTGATCACTTGATCAAGGTATTGCCTGATTTCCTCATTGTGTGATTAATTTTTGATTTTCTCTTGCACCTAATAAAGAGTCTGCAGGGAGATGTTTTAAAACCATGCAAATATCCTGCCACTTTTCAAAACTGGCCTTTAGGTTGAGCATGACTGCTGCCTGATTTAATCTTTACTCTGAAGTTGGCAAACTGATGATTTTCTAATGCTCTAATTCTACATTTATCTCTGCATTTCCCATTTTGTTTTGGGCATCAGTCTATAGTCTATAAGCTGAGCTTCTTGCTTCTTTCCTGTTTTTCTTTTATTTTCTATTTTCTGTCTTCTAGTTTCTTCTGATTTATGAATTCCCATATTTTTGGTGGTTTATGATTCATTGTCATACTAATTATTTTTGGTTTACAAGTAGTACCAGTTTGGCCAGTGGGAACATCTTCAAGGTCATTCCTGCGTTCTTGTGACATGTTCAGACCATTTTTGTGGGGAGCCCTTCCCTAATTTCCAGCAAGACAAGCTGTTCCAGGTTTATCTTGAATCTGTATCCCAGTCCTGGAGTGACCTTTCTCCCAGGAGCCCTAGTTCTTTTAATGGGTAAAGATCAAGACCTCAATGCTATGTGTCATCATTGCTACTGGGTATCTTTTCTTGACTCCTCTGACATTAAAAGTTAGTAAATATATTCACATGTATACAACGTGCATGCATATACTTGCATTTGTGTGTGTGTGTGTGTGTGTGTGTATACAGAAGCATACTCACAAACATTTTATAAATCATAGGTTTACACAAATCCATCTCAGTCCACACTATCCCCATAGGATTGTTTCTTTTCTACTCTCATTCCATATTTGCATCTTTCTTATGCAATGAGAATCATAGATCCCAGTATTGACACATTTCACTCACTCAGTCTTAGAGCATATAAAAACTAGCTTCAGAATTTTTTTTCCAACATCACTACAATACAAAAACCTTCTGAAAAGAGTTCAGCATTTGTTTACAATCCATCTAAGATTGTGGATTATAATTAGTCATTTTTTTCTCCATCTCCATCACCTTTAGTTTGGTTATAATGGTCATTTGAATTAAAATCAAGTTTGTTTAAGTTTGCTGTCTACTTAAACTTATTCTCTTTTTATGTCTATTGGTTTAGTTTTTGAATATGCAGAATATTTATATACCTTCAAAAGTCAAAGCTATACAAAAGGATACACCCAGAGAAATCCCTCAGAGGTCCTCACAGCTCATTTCCCCTCTCCTGACCCCTGTAGGTAGCCATTATTGCTTGTTATTCTATTTCTTTTTGCAATGCAGTAGATAAATGCATTTCCCTTCCCTTGGTCCCTCAGAGATGAACATAATTGCCTTCTAATTTATTCTTCTATTCATTTTTGTAATGATAAGTAGATATTCACGTGCTTTCTTCTCTTTCTTACGTAACATGTAACATACTATATATGTTCTTATCATTGCACAGTATTCCCTGGAAACCATCCCATATCAGTTTGTAGTGATCTTCCTAATTCTTTTTGACAGCTGCAGAATGCTCCATTGTGTTTGCACCACAGCTAACTGAACCAGTATCCTATGCAGTATTTTATAATTACAGATAAACCTCCATTGAAATTTTGTGATATGTATTTTTATTCTTAGCAAGGTATCTTCGGAATAAATTTCTAAAAGTGGGATTGCTGCGTTGAAGGAAAAAAGCTTTTCATAATGACCCTTCATATGGGTGGATTCAACCAACCTTGGATTGAAAATATCTAAAAAGAGTTGCATCTGTACTGAACAGCTACAGACTTTTATCATGGTCATTATTCCCTAAACAATATAATGTGATGACTATTTACATAGCATTTATGTTGTATTAGAAATGATGGGTAGATTGTATGCAAATACTATACCATTCTGTATAAGAGCTTAAGCATCCATGGGCTATCTGTGGTGGAAGGAGGTCCTGGAACACAAACCACCATGGATATTGAAGGACAACTGTATGTAGTTTCATTAGGGTGTTGCTATTGGTTTATCTTGATGTCCTTGTCCTAGATTGTTTATTGAAAATTTATTTTCATTCTTTTATTTTTATCAATATAGGTGTTAGTTACAAATTTTTCTCTAGTCTACATATTCCATAGAATTGTAATCTTTTCATTATTATCATCTTAACTAAATTCTGTACTTTCTCTGTTTTTCCTTTCAACAGAGTTCTTTAATAGATGGTTTTTAAATTTCCACATGGAAGTTATGGAACCTCCTTCTGGGAGCTTCTTGGAATTCCAGTTAACTTAATCAGATTAGCTCAATTAACTCATTCCCTAGCTTCTTTTCCCAAACTGCTTCTGCTCCTAGAGTGACCTTTGTCTACCTTTCCACCTTTCTTATTTCACCCAATCTTTATTTTCTGAAGCATTGCTCTTTTTCTTAACTACACCAGTCCAAGCTAATTCTCTCATTTCAGAATTCTTATGGCATTTATCACCTATATCAAATCATCTGACATGTTCAATTAAATTTTACTAAGGTATAAAGACATCATACACTCAGACTTCAGATTGTTTGGGAGATTGAATCCAAACTGTCATGCAGTAACTGTGTGACCTTGGTCAAATGACATAGTCTCTCTGTGTGTCAATTTTTCCAGCTACAAATGGATATGATAATAGTACTTCTTGAGGTGAGGATCTAAGAAGTTATTATCTGCAAAGATCTTAGAATAGTGCCAAAATTCTGAGCTTTAAGAATAACAGTAGGGGCTAGGGTTGTGTCTTAGCGCAGAGCACTCACCTAGCACGGGCAAGGCCCTGGATTTGATTCTCAGCATCACATAAAAATAAATAACTGAATAAAAAATAAAGGTATTGTGTCCAACTACAACTAAAAAAAATATTAAAAAGAGAATAATAAAAATCAATTCATGGGGTTGTGGCTCAGCAGTGGAGTGCTCGCCTCCCACGTGCAAGGCCCTGGGTTCGATCCTCAGCACCACATAAAAATAAATAAATAAAATAAAGTTAAAAAAAAATCAATTCATGTTCCTGCCATAGCAAGTTTCATRCTCATGGTTGTAAGGTATACAAAGGGTATGTGGCATTTCCCTAGGCTGGAGGAGCTAGCAATTTCATGCTGGTCGGATTTAAATTTTTGTAGAGATCTTCTATGTGCTCTCCTGGGGTGGCCTTTGCCCCTTACACATCCCTGGCATGAAGGTTAAGGTCGATGCTTAATGGCTACTTTGCAGAATCGGTTTCGAGATGCAAAGGATGGTGACTGCAAGAATTCCAGAGAAAAGAAAACCAGGGAAAAATCCATTGAAATGGGATATGTTGGCCTTGCCAAAGTATTGGAGGATTTGGTCAAGTGACATAGCCTCTCTGTCTCAATTTCTCCAGCTATAAACAGAATCGTTTCAACATAAAAACCGGGATTACAGGTAGCACCTGGACATGACTCTGAAGGTTAGGGGAGTCCATTCAGTGGCCTCATCGGCACTGTCCAGGCCCAAGCCATAGGGCCCAACCCTTTAGGACCTCGACACTCGGCCCCGCCCCCCTCACCGACCCGCCCCCAGCGGTGTGTCCGGCCTTGGCCCCGCCTCTCGACCCGCCTACGCGGCGTGCGGAGCTGCAGCCCCGCCCCGTGGCTTGCCCAGGACTGAGTCTCCCTGTCGCCCTCGCCGCAACCGCTAACTCCCCGCGGGGCGTGGGTCCTTGAAGGAGCCGGCGCCATGGCTACTGAGGCCCTGGCGGCTGAGGCCGTGGCTTCGCGCCTGGAGAGGCAGGAGGAGGACATCCGCTGGCTGTGGGCCGAGGTCCAGCGCCTGAGGGACGAGCAGCTGAACGCGCCCGATCGGTGCCAGGCGGAGGGGCCGTGCCTCACGCGGGAGGTGGCGCAGCTCCGGGCGGAGAACCGCGACCTGCGCCACAGGCTGTATCGCCTGCGGCTGTGCCTGGCGGAGGAATTGAGCCATCAGGCCAAGCTAGAGAGTGCGGCGCGGGCGGCGGCCGCGCACGGGGAGGCCGAGCGCGCAGCTGCGGGCGCGCAGGTAACAGGGAGGCCCGGACTCCGGGGGGCGGATTGTGGGCTGGCGCTGCGGCGCCGCCTCCACGGACCCGCGACCCGCGACCCGCTACCCGCGACAGTGCTCACTTAGCGGTCTTCAAATCTGGAAGCGCAGGTGCAGGCCGAGGGGTGGGGGGTGTGCTGCAGGGAGGGTGTGTCCACCACGGCGCGCTACCCAGCCGGCCCAGCTCCCTGAAGGGGTGCCCCCAGCCGGGGTGCTTCGGCCTAGCTCGTGGTCACGCAGCGTGTGCTCCTCCCGGGTGCCCTACCCAGTCCTCCTGCAGCGGCTCCAGAACCGCTAGATTTCCAGCAATCACCAAATTGACCCAATGGTTTAATTTCTCAGCTATTCTATTAAAGAGCCTGCCACACATATTTTCCTAATAGCTGAAATAGCATTTTCATTTGTATGAAAAAAGGGCCGTGGTGCTTAACATTCGTTATTCTTTCCTTGGGCATAAAGATCAAAACAGTTCTGTTCCCTCCGGTAGCAGGTGGTTTTGATTTTTTATTTTCTTGTTTTGGGAATCTATCTTGAGAGAATTGTATACTTAACGTTGAATACAGTATTTTGGTATTTTAGCTCATAAAAGGACAAATCATCTTCATGTAAAACAATAAATTTTGTTAGTTCTGAAGGCTTTCTCAAAATGTGAGATGTTCTTCCCGTTCTTTGCACCGTTCATGAAGATTTTGGGTACTCACAAATTTAGCGGGAAATGTTGAAAATATATTAAATGTGCTTATAGCAAGAAGAGCAGACTCAAGAAGGACTGAACTCTGGAAAATAACTTGCCCGTTATAGGTTGTAGGTAGTGGTTGGGAGAGCCCAGCTCTGAACCTTTAAGCATGGGCACTTGGCAGTCCCCCTTCTTCCTCAGGTTTCAATGTGTTGTTCTTACTTGTCATTGGCATGAGTAGTTTGTAACTTATCTTTCAGCCTCCTCCTAGTCAAAGCCAAGAAAAGGACATTCAAAAGGAGAAATTGAAGGAACATGGACCTGACAGTGAGGTAACATTGCTATGGAAATAATATAAAATACTACTTGTAATTTAAAATATGTATAGGCAGATTTTTTATAAGAACATAATTATTAGTTAAATTATTATTTGAGATGTATTTAAGACTGTTGAGCCTTAGCTATGAGATGTTAAGGCACACTATATTTAAACGGCACTTAGTCTAAGTTGGAATAGTAAAGCTCTTACTTTGTATTGAGGAAATCAGCTACTCTGCTTTTTAAATATAAATTATTAAAACAACCAGACAATATTCATTGAGCATTAACAATTGATAGATGTAAAGGAGGAATACCTGGCCTCAAAGAGAATAATCTGGTTCTCAAGTTGAGAAAAACAGAGGAGAACCAACTAGAGAATGAAATGAGATGGTACATTTGTCCCCTCTGTATCCATGGGTTCTGCATTCACACATTCAACAAACTGTGGATTGAAAATGTTTAGAAAAAAATTGTGTCTGTATTAAATATGTATAGACTTAATGGTCATTATTTCCTAATGTACAACCACTATTTATATGGTATTTATATTGATATGTTTATTTTAAGTAATCTGGAAAGGATTTAAGTATATAGGAGAATGTGTGTAGGTTATAATCAAATACTATGTTATTTAAGAGACTTGAACATCCTCAGATTTTGGAATCCATAGGGCTCCTGGAATCAAATCCTCATGAATACTGAGGGATGGCTGTATATTAATGAGTGGTGTATTGTATGCCACTTCAAACATGTGCTGTGAATAGTGAAAAGGGAGAGGCCGGAAGGTGTAGGAGTTAAAGGTGGCTGGCTTAGAACTGGACTGTAGAGCTAAGGAATTCGATAAGTGGAAAGGAGTCTTCTGAAGGGGGAAGTAGAGAGACAAGAGAGTACATATGTATGCTGAGAAGGCAGTGTGGGGTGTGGAAAATGATTTAGAGCTGAGCAGCTAGCAATACCTGGACTGTGTTTGTTAATGTCATTTTATTCTAATAATTTTCAGGTGAAACAACCAAATTTTATAAAAGAAAGGATGGAACTTTTTGAAACCTTGAAGAAAGAACATCAGCTTTTGCATGCTATGTGTGAAACAAAGGAGAATGCAAGCAATGTGATAGCAGTAAGACTGGCTGATGGGAAAACAGTGGAAGGGGAAATTTGGAAAACAACACCATATCATGTGGCTGCTGAGATTAGGTAAAAAAAAAATACATATCATATACCTAATATATAGAGAAATATAGATAGAAAAATAGTTTGGGGAAGATATTCAGTAGTAAGCAATTGTACCAGAGCCTGGTAGAATGTTTTTCTAGGGACTGCTAGAATATTTGTTTTCTTCATTCAGTTGAATAAATTAAATGTAATGAATTTTTTCCTAATGGCTTCTAAAAAGGTTACTTGATTAAGTTTATGAATATCAGAACACAATCTGTTCTTTTATAAAAGACCCAAATTTTAAAGTTATAAAAATATATAGTAGAGAAAAAAAATTGTACTCCTTAACAGGCCACATCACAGTGACTTTATTCATTACTCAAATGATTTCTCTGAATTTTTTATAGGTCCTTTAATTTTAGATTGAAGATGTACGTGTTAGAGCTGTTATTAGTCCTGGAATAGTTCTTGGTCTTTCTAGAAATTACTGAAGTTATACTGTTTTGGTTGATGTTAATTTCTAGCATTAAATACAATTATATGGAAACTATAACCCCAAATTTCCATGTTAATACAATTTTATTATTTAAAAAACAAATCATACCAGGTGCAGTGGTGCATGCCTATAATCCCAGCGGTTCAGGAGGCTGAGGCTGGGGGACTGTGAATTCAAAGCCAACCTTGGCAACTTAGCATGGCCCTAAGCAACTTAGCGAGACCCTGTCTTAAAATAAAATATATTTTAAAAAAAGGCTAGGGATGAAGTTCAGTGGTTAAGCGCCCTGTGTTTAATCCCTAGTACCAAAACAAACAGTTTCAGCAGTTGAAATCCTCAGATTTCTTTTGAAAGCTATCTATGGCTAAGGTATTTCTGTTTCAGCCTTTATCATGTACCTAAAGGCCCTTCTAACCCAATTCCATGTTTTCCAGGAGAGATGATGTGCTAGAGAAAAATGGATTTGAGGCAAAAATAATATATTTTCTCATGGGGAGTCAGGTTTCCCGTTAATGTGTTTCAGCAATTCTCAAGTGTGGTGCCCAGACCAACAGAATTGTCATTATCAGGGAACTTGTTAGAACAGCAAATTTTCCAACCCCCTCTCAACCTCTTGATTCAGTCAGCTGTCTTATTTTTATGAGCCTCCAGTAGCTTCTGATGCAAGCTAAAGTTTAAGAACCACTGAATTAGGCTAAACTGTTGCAGCAGAGACCCCTAAAGACAGTGACTTAAGTAAAGTGTTAGACTTTCTCATGTAACAGTCTGCAAATGACCAGGCAGATCTGGTGGACATCTCTGGCCCATGAAATCATTTATGCACCCAGGTTCCTTCTGTCTTGGTGATATGCAGGGTCCTATCTGTGGGCCTGTGTACAAACAAGAAAGGGGAGAGTGAAGAACAGTGATGCTTTGGAGTCAAGTTCCCATAGTAGCATATTTCAGTTTCTACTTACATCCTATTAGCTCACATTTAGTCATATGACCACACCTAGCTATAAGATAGAATGAAAATTAGTGCTGGCTAGCACGTGTCCCACTGAAATTCTTTTACCTTGGAAGAAAAAAAAATGGTTTATAGGACAACAGGCAGTCTTTCCCAATCAATCCCTCCAACATCCAGATATCTGTGTGTGGTCTTCTTTCAACATCTGGCACTCACCCCTCTCCTAGGTGAGACGACAACTTCAGGCCCTGTAGCTCAAAGCTCACAATTTCTACATGATGTGCAGAATACCCACCCCGTCAGGCTGGCTACTGCATCCTAACAACAAATAATAACAGACAAATCTTCTTATACCATATGCATACAATAAACAAGAAAACCACAATTAAAATGTCTGTTTGGACAAAAAGGAGAAATACAGGAGGCATTGCTTTACAGAATTCTTCTGATTCTGCTCACAATTGTTATGCCCATAGTTAGTGCTGGACTCAGCCCATCTGGTCACCTTTTGGGCTGTGGAAGAAGCTTCCTCATCTACAAACCTGTGGGCCCTAATTTTGTTCTTTGGGAAGTTCACAGTTTTCTCTTTGCCCTTGTTTCCCACATCTGAATTGTGGGGAAGTTTGTCACCTTGGGGTTGTCTAGTTTGCACAGCCTAGTTTTTACAGGTGCACTTTTGGGGCCTGAGAGTCCCTTTTAAGACTAGTCACTAGCATTTGTAACAGGACTTGTAGCTGGGTTGGTAATAGAATTCCCTCAAACAGTTAACTGTAGTAAGCTTYGGGTCTGTTTGCTGCTAATCAGTTGACATGAAGAACATCTCATTTAAAGACTCCTTCTAGACAAGAAATTCCTTACCTTCAGTTTCTTGGCTTTTGTACTTGGCTCATTCCTTTTTCCCTTAGTTGAATGGACTGAGCCTATGGAAACAACAGGCTTGTGAGAGGGCAGCAACCTTACTCTCTAATTCTTACAGTTCCACTGGTCCCTATTGTCTGTCTATATGGGGCCTTTGAGAAGGGCTGTCAGTTCCCCTTCTTCCTGCTGTTTGGGACAGAAGATTATCTTTCAATATTGTACAGCCCCACATTTTATGGACTCTTAATCAATTTGAATTTTAGGTCAGAGAAGAGAACCTTCCTTGGTGAAGCCCTGTCCATTCCATCTGACATGCGAGTTTCTCATTCTAGTACTATCTTGGTAAAAGCAGCAGGAATTATCCAGTACCCTTTTATACCTATTTCCTCACATACTGTTGTAACACATGGTTTGCCTGCAAGTTCTTATCAAATATTTTGTAATGCCATATAAAGGTTGTTGGTTTTCCAATATCCTTATATCCATTTCCTTGTAACCTACTGCCCCTCTGCCAAGCCAGTGCCACATGTTTTTTTTTTTAATTACTTGCAAGCCCTTATTTCTGTATTAGCTAAAACATAGGCTAAACTACTACAAGACATCAGAAAGAACTCAGTGGCTTAAATATAATCGAAGTCTCTTTTTCATAAGGCAGTCTGGAGGTGAGTGGTCCATGTTGGCAGGTCAGCACTTCTCCACAAAGTCATTTAGAGACCTAACTTACTTCCATCTGATTTCCATGGTCCAGAAGTAACAGCAGTCTGTGTGTTCCAGTCCACAGGAAGCAGAAAGGGTGGAGAAGTGCCCTCTTCTGTCTTAAGGCTGAGATGCAGAAGTGGTACATGTCAGTTCTGCTTGTATTCATTGGCCCTAGTCATGGTCTCATGGCTACATTTAGCTGCAAGGAAAGCTGGAAAAAGTGTACAATAAGGGGACCAATGGATTTGAGGAAATTTTTTTAGTCTATCACAACTAGAAATATGAAAATAAAATTCTATTTCATTAGTAACAATATCTAACATTCATTAAGTTAACATAAGTAATCTTTTAATTCTCAGTGTAAATGTATGAGGAAGGCACCATAATTCCTATTTTATAGATGAGAACACTGAGACTTAGAGAAGCTGAGTAAATTGTCCAGAGTTTAAATCCAGGTTGGCCTCATGCCAGAGTGTGGGCTCCCAGCCACAAATGCAGTCCTGCTGCCCAAGGTAATCACAGAAATGCCAATTAAAACATGACATTGTAGAGAGGATATAATTTCATAGTATCTAACATTATGAAAGTAGAGACAAGGTACCAACTCTGATGGTAGGAAAATTTGGCAGTATATTCCAACATAAATCATTAAAAATGTGTTTCCCTTGACATAGTAATTTTACTTGGAGCACTTTTCCTGAGAAAATGCTTGGGTACTAAGATGTGTGTTCAGGAATTTTCATTGCAACTGACAAAACAATAGTAACAAAAAACCAAAACCCACAAAAAATTAACCAAAATGTTAGCTAATCTTAGTTTTTCTGCAACTGTTAAATAGCATATTTTAGAAGTCTGTCTACTGTTATGGACAATGCTGTGATTTATTTTTAATCTTAAGAAGTAGGTTACAAAATAACATACATAATGATAATTTTAACTATTTTATATTGGTGTATATATGGAAAAGCATGGAAGGATAAAATTGAATAAAATATTAACTGGAATTTCTGGGTGGTGGGATTATATATATATWTTTTCCTTTGTGGTGTTCTGTGCTTCCCAGGTTTCTTTTCTTAACTTTTTGTCAATATTCCAAACAGTAAGTGTTACTGAAAAGAAAAAGATCAATACCTTAGTAGAAAAAAGGCAGAGAAAATGGACAGTTCATCACAATTAAAATTAATCATCAAAGAAATCAAAACTTTCAACATCACATTGACAGATTTAAATTTTTTTCCAGGGTGCAAGGAAATACACTCAGATGACGTTTATCAGAAATCTGTTATGCCTGTTAACCTAGCATCCTCTTCTGTGAACTTATTCACAAAAGATTCAAAGTTGCATGTGTATGGATGTCTATGTGGTATGCTCTGTAAGAGCAAAACTGCAGGTGGCCTCAATGTTCAGATTTGRAGGTTTTGTTAATAAATATAATACTTCTAGGCTGCTTTGGAAGTCTAATGTGTGGCAGTGAAAAAGCGGGGTATAAAATTAGGGGGGCAACTGGTTTTTTTTTTTTAAGAAGTGGAGAAGGGGCAGATACAGGAGAAAAACTAGCCAGTCATGTACCAAATATTATAAGAGTTATTCCTGGGTGGCAATATGTACGGGGCTTTAATTTTATTTTTTGTTTCCTAAGTTTTAAAAATAGTGAACATATATGACTTTTATACATAAAATAATTGTTATAAAGAGGTAGCTGTCCTGGTAGTTTACATTTGTAATTTCTATCCACTTTCCAAAAAAATTGAAATTATTTTAATGTTTTCTTCTAATAACTCATTATAGCATGTAATAAGGTTAATTCCCAAGTGCTTTTCTCTTACTAGTCAAGAACTGGCTGAAAACACAGTAGTTGCCAAGGTAAATGGTGAATTATGGGACCTGGACCGCCCATTAGAAGGAGATTCCTCTCTAGAGCTGCTGATGTTTGATAATGAGGAAGCTCAAGCTGTAAGTATTTTAACAACCATCCAAACAGTCTTTGGGCATTTATGTTGTAAACTGCATTGGGGAAGAGACCAGGTATTCAAGTAAAGAATGATGAATATTTTGGCCTTTTAAGATTTAAAATTATAATATGGTGTTTAATAGATATTTAATAAATATTTGTATATATACAAATAGATATCACTTTTTTAAGGAGCCCATATTTACCATTTCTTAAAATAGTTGTTTTCCTAAGTTAGAATATTTTAGCTGTTAAATAATGTGTATTTGAAATGAATTTTAGGCTTGGGAGTGTAATTCAGTGGTAGAGTAGTTGTCTAGCATATATGAGGTCTTGAGTTGAGTCACCAGCATCAGAATATATGCAAAAACAAAAAGATCATGCCATTGTGATTGGCTGAAAATGAATTCTATTAAATTTAAAAATTCATATATAGGGCTGGGGATATAGCTCAGTTGTTGGAGTGATTCCTTGCATGCATAAGGCCCTGGGTTCAATCCCCAGCACCACCAAAAGGGAAAAAAGTGCCAATTAAAAATTCATCTATATTATAATTTAATATATGTGAGGAGTTTGGAAAAAATTATCAGAACTCAGGGGCTGGGATTATAGCTCAGTGGTAGAGTACTTGCTGAGCACGTGCATGGAACTGGGTTTGATCCTCAGCACCACATAAAAATAAATAAATAAAACAAAGGTACACACACACACACACACACACATACACATTTATATCTCCTCAGATATCCTCTATTTGTTACTATAATTTTCTATAAAATACCAAATTTTTATGTAGGGTCTCTGATATACCTTAACTTTTGCAATCTCTTTTCAAGTATTTCATTATCTCCATTTAAAACCCAACCTATGGCTAACTTAGGTTATATTAATTGTTATGCCTAAACTAAATTTCTTAAATCTGAACTATGAGAACTGTATTATAAATATATTTCTGCTTAAAATATGCAAACTATAACCAGTGAATAGTTAAATAGTACATTATTAAGGAAACCATTTTTTAAAAGTGATTCAGAAAGTACAAGTTTATGAACTGTCAACTGTCATTTCTCTATAGCTAGACACTGTCTGTGTGGTGTCTCCATTTAGACACTGTACAAGAATCTTTTATTCAGTGCATTCACTGTGAAATTCTTGATTCTAACCCCAAGGTTTATTTTTTCCTTGTCTGCCCATCTCAGTGTACTACTCTACTACATACTCAGTTTTCTAAATCCAGAACCTTGGAGGTTATGTGTAATTATTTTCCTTGCTCACCTTTAGTCTTCAGCTTATGGGAAAGCCCAGTAGATTATACTGGAATCTGTCCATTCTCTCCATCTCCATTGCCACCACCTGGGAGTCTGTACTCATCCTGTTATACCACCATCCAAGAAATTGCCTACTTGATGTTTCTTCCCTTGAAATCCATTCCCATACAGCTATAAAACTATGTTTTAAAATGTTTATTGCCTATTTCTCTCCTATCTGTATGAGGCTGTATCTGTATGAGGGCAATGGATAAATCTCTTTCTTTCACAATCATCTTCCCAACACTGAACACAATAAATAACAAATATCTCAGTGTGGACAGTGCCCCAAAGAGGAGATTTGGGCTTGGCACTCAGCCTGCTGTCCAGTAGCAACCACAGGAGGGTTGCTTAGCCCCAAAGGCTGGTCTCTGGGTCTGTTCGCAGAACATGTACCACCCTTTTGCTGAGGTCAGGATTATATGTAATTACTCCAGTCAGTTAACTCTGTCTGCTCTGATTTATTTTATCAAACAGCTTTCTAATTGTAATTTACTTTTCTGTTTAATAAAGGGAAGAAGGTACAGACAGAAGACTCAATTATCTTGCACCTTTGGCACTTATATTTTTATCTATTTTTTTTTTTTTTAGTTGTAGGTGGACACAATACCTTTATTTTATTTACTTATATGTGGTGCTGAAGATTGAACCCAGGGCCTCACACATGGTAGGTGAGTGCTCTACTGCTGAGCTACATCCCTAGCTGTGGCACCTATATTTATTTGGTGACTTGGTTTTAGTTTACCAATAAACTATTTATTGATAAACTAATTCTTGATCCATAAACTAAGCTAGTTTAGTTAATTTTAGTTAACTCATAAACAAATTCCTTGGGAATTTGAAACTAAATCAACTTGCTGAACTTTTAGGACTGATAACCCCCTTTGGGATATGGTGAATTAACCCACATTTACACTGCTCACAGGTCTCGGGGAATCAGCAGGCATTTCTGGCAAGACCTTTTTCTTCCTGAGCTGTCTTTTAGACTTCCGCAGACACAGGCTGTTCAGCATGTAAAGATTTCTGTGGAGATACAGAATCTTGTTAACTTTAGTGATGTCCCAAACAGCCACTTGAGTTGTCTGCATCCAGCTCTAGAGAGGCTGCCTTGAAGAAAAAGGAAGGGAACTGGTACCTGGCACTCAACAGCTTTCTTCTCACTCTGGGCCTCTTGGATTTCCATGTGGCCACTGTGCTGGATGATCCTAGTGCAAGGTCTCCTTCCCCACAGTTCTGTGCACAGAAGGAAATGATGTAGTAGTTGCATCTTAGCTGCAGTGCTCAGCAGAGTAGCTTTACACAACACCTGAGCACATGGCTCTTGTGGAATGCCAAGGAGGGTGCAGAAAATAGTCCTTGTAAGTGGACATTGAGGATTCTCTTTTTACATGTCTTGGCATTTATCCCCTTCAAATTTATCCACTTGCTTACTCATGCTGCTCTACCACTTATGTCCCATGATATAATTCAGATAGCTAATAGCTTCTCTGTACACAGGTATACTGGCACTCCAGTGCTCATATTCTTGGGGAGGCCATGGAAATTTACTATGGAGGCCACTTGTGCTACGGCCCACCCATTGAAAATGGATTTTATTATGACATGTTCATTGGAGACAGGTAACACTGCATAATACTCACATGTGTTTATATTTTTTTGTTTTATAATGGTTGCGTATTAGCTTAGTCATATATATTGCACCGTGTGGTGATAAATTGGTTAACCACTTGTGAAAATTATTTTTTAATGAGGTTAGATTCAAGGGTAACTTCTCATGTTTTCTCTCTTTTCCCCAGAATGACATGATAAGGACATCTAATCTGGGGCTTGCTAGAGTATGCTACTAATTAAGACAAAAATCACAAACTTAATTCCTAGAAAGCAGTTAATCAGTTCTCCATGGTAAAGGTGCTGTCACCTTCAGCTTCAGCCAGTCATCTCTCACATTTGAATGACAGATAGGAATGGCTCACACAGACCTCACATTCCATAGGTCTGTGCTTGAAATCATTAGCAACTGGCCCTGCCCTTGTCCACCTCCTGCTCTGTATTCCTCAGAGTTCTTAAGGGTACCAACAGCTGACAACACTGAAACCTTGGATCCTTTCAGTTTCCCCCTACTCCTTACCACCACCTTACTATTGAGCGGCTCAATCTAGTTGTGCCAGTTTTATCTCCTAAATAGTTTTTCTGTCCTCTCCTCTTGTTTCTTTCTCTACTTTGGGTGAGTACAGTACGTTTCAACTTTGTCTGTCACCCCCACACTGCTCCGTAACTGAGCACATAGCAATCTGTAGCTTCTGTTTATAAACTTTGTCTTGTCTGAACAATTTTTACTCACAAGTATGAACTGTGTTTATCTACAATAACTCTCATCCCAAATGTGTGGGTTTTCTCCACACTAACAACTGATTTGCCAACTTTAGGACAGCAGCTGAGTGTTCAGCAATTCAGAGGAATCCTGACCCTACCCAGAGTTAGGCAAAACCCCAGGTTAAGGCTCAGTCCCACAAGGCTTCCCCCATTTGAGACACCAATTCCAAGTCCACACTGTCCATAATTTTGACTCACTGGCTATAAATTGAGTTTCCATGTCCTGCTCCTTGGGTTCACCAGTTTGCTAGAATGGCTCACATAACTGAGGATGGTACTTAAGTCTACTGGTTTATTGTAAAGGTTACTATACAGAATGTAGTTGAACAGCCAGTTAAAAGATGCACAGGGATAGTATGTAGCAAGGGGTGCAGAACTTCCATGCCTCTGGCTCTTTCACCTCCTAGCACCTTTTTGTGTTTGTCAGCTGGAAGCTCCTCTCCCATTCCTGGAGGTTGGGAGTTAGGGCTAAAAGTTCCAACCCTCTATGCCCTGGTCTCCCTGGCATCAGCCCCATCTGAAGCTGTCTGGGGCCCTCAGTCATCTCATTCATACACAGAAGACACTCTTCTCACTCCAGAGATTCTATTATATCACATCCATTGTCATCTCTTGTCACCAGCACTACAAGCTCATTTGTTCAACATGGTTTTTCTGACTGCCTGCTGTATGCTTGTGCTTGGTGCTGGTGATTCAGAAGTGAACCAGTCTGTCTGTCCTTGTAGAGCTTGTCAGGCTAGGGGAATACAGACATACACAGCCATTTACCATCAAGTGGTGATGAATATATGAAGAAAAAACAGGTATAAGGAGATGTGTGCCATGTAGGCAGGAAGTCAGGTCAGAGTAGAGTGTCACTGAGGCAGAGGCCAGAATGGAGAGAGGAAACAAGCCCAAGGAAACTTGGCAGGGCAGGGGGAGGGGAGGCATTTGTGGACATCTGGGGGAAAACATTCCAGGCCTCTGTGGGCATACAATGTGACTTGTTTGAGGAATGGCAAGGACGCTAGGGCAGGAGGGAAGTGAATCCCCACCAGGAGCCAATGGAAGGAGGTCAGTCCTTGCATGGTGATAGTGCTTGGGACTGTACTTCACACACGTCTTCCTCCCAGGTTAGATCCCACTGCCACTGAGGGCAGGAATGTGGTGAGCCCTTAATACAACTCTTTAGAACAAAAATACAAAAGCATGGAGTCTGAGGAAGACAACACAGGAGCAGGACTCAAAGGAGCTCACCATCTGGCTGGGGAGTCTTCTAAGAGACTGTTCTCATGTCAGGTCAAAGAAAAGCTGAAGGTAGTAGATTGCAGCATCAATTGATGCCTCAGCTTCCTTCTTAGAAATAAAGGCGTATCTGCTCTGTGGATGAATGTCTGACTCAAGTCCTGGTACAACAGATCACCAACTGAATTCAGAATGTGTATCAAATATTGATAAACGCTCCAGGGCAGCAGAGAGGGGGAATTACTCGGGGTCTGAAAGATCTGTACTGATTCTTGGGAACTCTCCTTTTTAGAGCAGTGTCCAGCACTGAGTTGTCAGCCTTGGAGGACATATGTAAAACCATCATAAAAGAAAAGCAGCCTTTTGAAAGATTGGAAGTCAGCAAGGAAACACTTCTGGACATGTTTAAGGTAACTTGGGGAAACTCAGAATAAAAATCTTTTACTAGGAATATTAACAGAAATTAACATAGGCTAGCATTTTCTCTCCCACCCCAAATACCTGGCTGAACTCACCAGATTTTTCCGCAGTCTGGGAACCTGTTATGAGGTTGTTCTGATCATTTGCTCTGCCTCTTTCCTCCTCATCTGTTTCCTAAAAAATTTCAGGCATACATAGGTAGGTAAAGGGCAGGTAAATACTCTTCATATGTGTCTTTGTAAAACTGATTAATTCTGAGTATCATTAATGCCTGATTACTGGGAATACTTATTCTATCTTATGGAATGAAGTGTCATCTGCTTTTAGAATTGAAAATAAATTGTTATCTGCTTCAAAAAAGAATTGAATATAAAGCCAATTAAGAGTATTAAACTAGGGCTGGGGTTCTGGATCAGTGGTAGAGTGCTCGCCTCGAATGTGTGAGACTCTGGGTTCGATCCTCAGCACCACATAAAAATAAATAAGGGAAATAAAGGTATTGTGTCCAACTACAACTAAAAAATAAATATTAAAAAAGTATTAAATTAAAGGAAAATTGACTACTAAATTCAACCGTGTTTGTAATCTCATACAAAATTGTGTTTTTTTCTTTTTGGGGGCAGTTTTTTGTTAACTTTCTTTTTAATCCTAGGTCTGGGGGTGGTACCAAGTGGTTGCCTAGCATAGGCCCTGAGTTCTATTCCTAGCATTACAAAAAGGAAAAAAAAAAAAAGGTTGTAGCCTGTGTAAAACTTTTGAATAGTCTTTTTATATTTTTTTGACCAATTTACTTAAATATAATCCTTAATTTTATTTTTAAATCATATATATCAGAGAAAGTATATGTTTTGAAAGTATAGTATTATTATAGGCTTGCATTAGAAATGGATTTGCTTTTTTAAATTTGCATTTAAAGTTTTTGTGTGGCAAAATATATAAAATGTAAAATTTACCATTTTAACCATTTTTCAGTATATAGTTCTTCAAGCACATTTACATTGTGTAAACATCACCACCATCCATCCACAGAGCTCTTTTCATCTTCTAAGACTCTCTACCTGTTGAACTCTAACTTTCCTCCCTGGGCCCCTGCAGGCACCATTCTACTTTCTGTCCCTGAGTTTATCTTTCTCTAGGAGCCTCATTTCTGGGGAAGCATGTCTCTGTCCTTTGGTGACTGGCTTGTTTCACTCAACATAACATCCTCCAGGTTGTCTGTGATGTAGCAGATGTCAGAATATTTTTCTTTTTTTGAGGTTGAATAAGATCCTTTTGTATGCGTATAGTAAATTTGTGGATTCTTAGGTTGCTTCTGCTTTTTGACTGTTTTTGTGAATAAAGCTGCTGTGAACATGGGTGTGCAAATTTCAGTGGGAGATACTGATTTCACCACTTTGGGGCATATACCCACAAATGGAATTGCTGGACCATATGGAAGTTCTATTTTTAAGTATTTTGAGAACCTGTCATACCATTTTCCACAGGAGTACTGAGCTGTTTACAATGTACAAGGGTTCCTGTTTTTCCATATTCTTGCCAACAATTGTTATTTTCTGTTGTGTGTGTGTGATATTGTTGTTGTTTATAACAGCCTGTCTAATGGCTGTGAAGTGGTATTTCTTTGTGATTTTGATTTGCATTTCTCTAATGACAGTAATGTTGAACATTTTTAATGTGTATCTTCTTTGGAGAACAAGTTCTTTGCCCATTGTTTTTTTATTTTTATTTTTTTTATAATTGTAGGTGAACAGAATGCCTTTATTTGTTTATTTTTATGTGGTGCTAAGGATGGAACCTAGTGCATCACACATGCTAGGCAAACACTCTGCCACTGAGCTATAGCCTCAGCCCTCTTTGCCCATTTTTGGATGAGCTTGTTGGTTTGTTGTTGTTGTTGTTGTTGTTGTTGGTTGTGGTGGTGGTTTTAAGACAAATTTGTTATGCTGCCCAGACTGGCCTTGAACTTCTAGGCTCAAGTGATCTTCTTGCCTCAGCCTCCTGAGCAGCTGAGACTATAGCACACCTCAGTCTTGTTTTTAGTTCCTTATGTATTATGGATATCAGTCCCTTAACAGATACAGGATGTGCAGATATTTTCTTCTATTCTGTGGGTTGCCTTTTTCTTGGAGCTACTCAGGATCTAAATATATCAATGTTTGTGAAGGAAAATTATTTGGTTTGAACATGCAGGTATTAAACAGTTAAATCTTATAAATCTGGTCAGTTTGTTGTTCTCCTGACAACTCCTGTAAGAAGTTATTTAGTATAAGTACCTGGTGCTGTGATAATGATGATAAAAGCAGAAAAAAAGGAAGAGGAAAAAATTACATTTTTTAAATGTAATGACATTATTGCTTACCATAAATTTTGTTTTTGTTTTTATATAAGTCATAATATAGCTGCATCCTCAATTTATTTATTCTATGTCGTTAAAACTGGATCTTCAAGAACAGTGTTGGCTAGTAGAAATATAATAGAATCTTCAAATCTGAGCCACATATGTAAAATGGAATCTCAGATTTTGTGGCAGCTATATTTTATAAGTAAAACAAAGGTGAAATTAACTTCCAATAAAATTTTATTTAACAGTATATTAAAAATATTGTTTCAGCTGGGTATGGTGGTATATGCTTGTAATCTCAGCAATTTGGGAGATTAAGGCAGGAAGATCACAAGTTCAATTCCAACCTTGTCAGTTTAGTGAGAGCCTGTTTCAAAATTTTAAAATTTAAAGAAAAGGGCTGGGGATATAGCTCAGTGGTAGAACACCCTTGAGTTCAATTCCTAATACTATAAGGGAAAAAAAAATCATTTCAACATATAGTCAATATAAAAAATAATTAATGAACTATTTTACATTCTCCCCACCCCTACTATACCTCTGAGGTCCTGTGTGTTTTTCACTTACAGCACATCTCATTTCACACTGGTCATATGTTAAGTGTCCATTAACCATGTGGGCACAGGCTTCCACCCTGGAAGTCTATCTGCCATGAGTTCTCTGTGTCCTTAGTGTCTCAGCACCTCAAAAGTAGTAGACGCTTTTTCAGTGTTACTTGAATTGATGCTTTTTTTTCTCTCATTTAACATTTTTTGTGTAACAACGTGTAAATATGTTTTTCTTTGTAGTACAATAAATTTAAATGCCGAATTCTGAAGGAGAAGGTTGACACTCCAACTACCACAGTTTACAGGTTTGTGTGCATAAATTTCAAACACTGCTCAGTAGTAAACTTGAAGGTGTTAGCAGTAGAAGCAGAGTTTGTTTTCTGGGAAGTGTAAACTTGCACAGCTGATGTACTACTATAGTAAGGAACCCTCAAATTTTATTATCAAGGGTAAATTCTTATTTTTCCTTTGTACTTATCAGGATAGTAACTGAGACCAATTTTCATTTTTTGAATGTCAGCTGTAATAGGACCTTTCTCTTTAAGGGTAGTACTATGTCAGCCTGGTCCCTTACATTTTTAGGAGCTATTGGGAAAAGAGGTGTTTCCTCCTTCTGCATTCTTAGTAACATGGTAATGGGAGCCATCCAGACCATCTTCTCACATTGTGCCCCCTGTTGTCCAGAGTTCAGGTGTATTAGCCTTCCTTTGTGAGCAGGATATTCACAGTGGGACTAAAAGGGAACTTTGGGAAGCAGCCAAGTCAGGGCTAAGAACTTAGTGTCAGTCCCAGGATCCCTCAGTTCTCGTAGTTTAACAGGAGTCTCTTGAGCCCTTTATAATTTATCTGTCTTTCAAAGCTGCCCCATGGGTAGTTGCTGTTCCCCATTTTTGTGTGTTCCTGCTGTTTGGGTGCTGCTGGGATCATCATGGTCCCATCTTAGAAGACCTAGTACCTAGGTAATTACAATCACAAATCTCCTCCACCAGAGCATTATTTCCACAGTCAAGTGCTTATCATTCTCTAAATCAGTTGTAGGATAAAGTAAATCATATTCCTTTTGTGCAAAGCCATGCATAGAGCATCTCTTAAATTATAACATGCACTCCTTGCAATTGATGTAGTATGGGATACAATAAAAGCAGTCCTTAGCAGGAAGAGTAAAGCAGGTGGCATCATTATATCAGACCTTAAACTATACTACAGAGCAATAGTAACAAAAACAGCACGGTACTGGCACCAAAACAGACTGGTAGACCAATGGTACAGAATAGAGGACACAGAGACTAACCTAACCTACAAAATTACAATTATCTTATATTAGACAAAGGTGCCAAAAACATGCATTGGAGAAAAGATAACCTCTTCAACAAATGGTGCTGGGAAAACTGGAAATCCATATGCAACAAAATGAAATTAAACCCCTATCTCTCACCCTGCACAAAACTCAACTCAAAGTGGATCAAGGACCTAGAAATTAAACCAGAGACTATGCATCTAATAGAAGAAAAAGTAGGCCCTAATCTCTATCATGTGGATTAGGCCCCATATTCCTTAATAAGACTCCTATAGCACAAGAATTAAAATCAAGAATCAATAAATGGGATGGAATCAAACTAAAAAGTTTCTTCTCAGCAAAAGAAATAATCTGTGAGGTGAACAGAAAGCCTACATCCTGGGAGCAAATTTTACCCCTCACAATCAGATAGAGCACTAATCTGTAGGGTATATAAAGAACTCAAAAAGCTAAGCACCAAAAAAACCAAATAACCCAATCAACAAACGTGTTTACCTTATTTTTGCCACTCTTCAATTAACTATAAGATTTTATTATTTATTATCTATCATTCAAATAAATATTAACACTAATATTTATTAGTGTTATTATTATTAATCATTCTTAACTTTAAGAATAAATGAAGATACAGAAAAGACAGGCTAAATTTTTAAATTCTGGCTTCTAATAATTGACAAGTTGCATTTTTTAGAACCTATTTAGATCTACATGGACACTTCTTGTGATTATTTAAAGATCAGGGTATTAAAAACTTTTGTGCTAATTTGGTATTCCTTCCTTTCCTCTGAATATGATTTTTACAACTTCCACTTTAGAGGACAGTACTCAAAGCCTTGTTTTTTTAAAAAAAAAATATATTTTCATTTTTACAGCTTCATTCTATTTGTAAGACTATAAGTCACTTTTTGTCATTGTGATTTTTAATCTTTTAACCACTGGACTTTAAAATTGATTGGGATAGTTAAGACATTACTTTCTTTACTAAATTTTCTTCAGACTGGTTGATGTTAAGTAATTTTCCCTCTGACCTGTGACATTTATATTTTAATTCTGTTAATATTGCTGTACTTGAACAAAAGTGTTTACTTAAGATTTGTGAATCCTTGTTCATTATATGTTCAAGGGAATTCCTAGCTACAGCCCCTAGTGTCTGAATAATGATGTCATCTCTGACCCTAACTTTTGCCTGAAGTCTGCACTGTAAATCAGTGTTGTCATTTAATAAACCCAGAAATAATTAGGCATTTCATCATAAAACCAGAGAGCCTAAAAGAAATAAAGATCTTGACGTTTATTTTTTCTTTTGTTTGTTCTTTGTTTTTTGTTTTCTTTACTTTTATTTTCTTATCACATTTATTTTTTCATTTTTTGAGAAAAAGGAAAAAGAAGTTTTATTGCTTTGTTAGCAAAGGAGAAACACAGGGGACTTCTGTCCCAGAGGCTGTGATTCTGCCCATCAGCAGGAACAAGGAGGCTTTTCAAGAGGTGATTCAAAGGCTACATTCCATGTTGGTGTTATAATTCACTTGTTAATTTGGGAGATCTTTCTGAGATCTTCTGGTGCCATTCCCAAAGCCTGGATTACTTCTTCCCTATGGTGGATGTGTTTTCAAGGACGGGTAAATCTGCCTAAAATAGGGAAGAAAGGTAATCCTGTTTCCCCTGAGATTAGTGAAGAGGAAAGATTAGAGAGGCGCAGGGAGAGAGGAAGAGAAAGAAACATGTGCATTTAAAAAATAATTTATAGTAGCAGAGCAGCATGGGCTAATTCAAAGCATAAAGTGGAACCATTGTTACACTTCCCCACTATCAATTTCTATATTCCATTTCTATGGAAAAATGGGCGATGACATGTCCCAAGGTGCTTCCTGCTGAGAGAGGATAAAGTTGGGGAAAGTAACACAAAGTCCTTGTTCTCTATCAATTGGGACATAGACTGTTAAGGGTATTCAGTATCACATCAGTCCAGAGGTCCACAGTGGCAGATGGCAGGTGACTGGACAAGGCATACATAGGGCAGGAATTATGCTAAGACAATAATAAACTAGACAACAAAGCTTTTTTGTACACAATTAGCATGAAAGCAATCAGTATTTCAGCTAGTCTCTGAAAACCAGGAAGACAGTAATTCATAATCATATAAGTGAAAAACAGATCGAGTTTACCCATGTAGAAATAGTTAGGAAACTTTGTAAGTCGATGAGATCAGGCTCAAATTAAGTCAGGGCAAACTTTCGACTCTAGAGTCCTTTGTGATCATTTTTATTAGGCACTCCCTACAAGAACCCTTCCTTTATACCATCCAGCCTTACTTACTTTTGGTAGGGCTGACACAGGGTACATCTTAAGTTACATTAAAAAAATATTGTTTTTTTCTTTTTAAATGTTCATGTAGGAATGTGCTTTGGCTATATTGTCCTGCCAGGTATTTAAGATCTAGTTGGTCAAAACCGACCTTGTTCCTATCTACTCCTAAGAGTCAGCTGAAATTCTTCAGAGTCACTCTTGGGCACGTGTGCAAAGCATCTTGGCTCTTTTAACTTTCCTCTACCACTGGTGCCATTGGCCAGGATGGGTCAGAGTCTTGCTTACCATATGTGGCTGCTTCTTTTTTTTAAAAAATTTTTTATTTGTTTTAATTAGTTACACATGACAGTACAGTGACCATCAGGGATGTTTCCATCTCTAATAATCCTCCTCTTTTCAGAATGTATACTGGTTGGCTTCCTATTCTCTAAGGTCCTCTCAATCTCCCTGATTGGCAGATTGGGTGACTCAACAGAGTTTCAGGGCCCAGAGAGGGGTCCCATCATTCTTTGGGTCCTGGCTGACCTTAGAGGAAAAGGACTAAAATATTGGCTACTATTTCCTTGGTCCTTTTACTTCCTTGACTTTGGTCTCCAAGTTTTTGATTTTAAACATCCAGCAGGCCAGTTTCACCAGTCTTAAAGTGGGAATAAATGTTATAACTTAAACATCTATAATTTTACAGTTACTCTTTTCATTTAATTGGGGTCAGTATTCTGTGAGTCACCATTGCATTCTATCGATCCTATAGGTAATGGCTTATTATGTCAGTTTAACTCAGGTTGTTTTATTGGAAGAATTACCTCTGCAAAACACTAACACAATAGTTCTATAGTTTACAAGGAAAACAACATGAAATTAGCAGAGAAAAAACATATTCCTTTTGTGTAATAGCTACGAACCAAGTAAAATGATTTTTATAATCTTAAACTCTTACTTAATTATATAGTATATCCCCTGTTTATTTTGAGATCACAGTAATCTTTACAACAAAATTTTATCTTTTGAACATAACTCTAAATGAGCTCAAGTCTAGCCTATTTTGGAGCCATTCTAACATGGAGTTGGGTGGGAAGCAGAGCCTTATCTCAGGTAAGGGGTGGGGAGGTTTCTTGACAAATAACATGATACAATATTACATCTAAAACATGAATCAAAAAGGCTAAGGGAGCTTTTAAATTTTTATGGAAAAAGTGGCAAAATGCTTTCATGTTTTACAACATCACTTTTAAATAGATTAGGCTTTCCTTATTACCTTCCAAAAATACATTTAAATTTCTATTCCAGAGTGAAAGTCACTCAAAATTGTATATATAACTTATTGACAATAGGTTACTTTATCCAGCTATAGAACATCAAATGACATGAATAATTACCAACCAAATTTTTTATTTCTATACAAAGCTGAGTTCATTACTATAGGTAATTTTAGTTTGGAGAACACCAACTTGGCAAAGTGCTTTCCTAAGCTTTACATTTAACTAAGATTAACTTTTAAAGTACAATTTAGAATAGAATCCAGAGTATACAGTAACAATGGTCACAGGTCTTCGTGGATTAGCAGGACTAGCAACAATCAAAGGAAAGCCTTAAATCTCTTGTACATTTAGGAAACAGTGTTAATGATCAGAAAGGACTTAGTCAAAACAAACAGATATAAGACAGGTCTTCAAATGACAGTGTGGCCCTTCTATATCAGATRCCATGTATAAAAGAGAGGACTTACTGGTTATCTTGCTGATAAACTTACATAAACTTTCATTTTAAAAACTTTTATATAACACTTACACAAGGCTTAAACAGATATAGTTCTCAGATGCATATATATACCAAGTCACATGTATTTAGGGTTTAACATTTATTTTTAAAGTAAAATATTAAGTTAATGTGTAAATAAATTTCAGATGATTTCAGTCCTGAAGAAAGATTAGTGTAGAGTAGGATAATGTCTGATTTTATGTTAAAGGGAGATATTTGAGAGCTTTGGGTTGTGACAGTTGACAGTGGCATCTCTGGCAGGGTGAGCTGGTACACACTTATAATACCAGTAATTTTCAACGCAGAGGCAGAGAACTGGAAATTCAAAGTCAGCTTTAGCAATTGAGTAGACTCTCCCTCAGAATAGAATAGAATAGGCTAGGGATGTAGCTCAGTGGTAAAGTGCCCCTGGGTTTTCTCCCCAGGATGGGAATTGGAAGGAAGGAAGGAAGGAAGGGAGGGAGGGAGGAAGGAAGGAAGGAAGGAAGGAAGGAAGGAAGGAACATCTCTTGCACTTTCTTTCAGAAGTATTCTGTGGCTTTTATATTTGAGCAAAGGGTAGAGGTATGTCTCAGTGGTCTAACACTTTCATTTACAAGGCCCTAGATTCTGTCCTTGGTATCACAGAAAAAAATAGATAAGAAAGAAGAAGGGAAGAAAACCACTGAATTTGAGCAAAAGAGGGCATACTAGGATCTGAGACTGGATGAGTTAGCTCTTTCCCTAAACCTAAATCAAAAATTGCTCTGAAACTTATAAGTAAGTAAAATCTTTCACTCAAGAAGATATAACTGGGGCTGGGGTTATAGCTTGCCTCACAAATGTGAGGCACTGGGTTCGATCTTCAGCACCACATAAAAATAAATAAGTTAAATAAAGATACTTTGTCCATCTACAACTAAAAATATTTTTTTAAAAGAAAAGCTAGAACTGGCTGGGTGCAGTGGTGTGCACCTGTAATCCCAGTGGCTTGGGAGGCTGAGTCAGGAGGATTGCAAGTTCAAAACGAGTTAAAAGCCATCCTCAGCAAAAGTGAGGTACTAAGCAACCCTGAGACCCTGTCTCTAAATAAATAAAATACAAAATAGGGAAAATCCCATCATCATTCCTTATAAAAATAGAAAAAGCAATAATGAAATTCATTTGGAAAAATAAGAGATCCAGAATAGCCAAAGAATCCTTAGCAAGAAGAGTGAAGCAGGAGGCATCATAATACCAGACCTTAAACTATATTACAAAGCTATAGTAACAAAATCGGCATGATATTGGCACCAAAATAGACATGTAGACCAATGGTACAGAATAGATAGAAGAAACAGAGAAAAACCTATATGAATACAGTTATCTCATACTAGACAAAGGCACCAAAAACACATATTGGAGAAAAGAAGCCTCTTAAACAAATGGTGCTGGGAGAACTAGAATTCTATATGCAGCAAATGAAAATAAACCCCTATCTTTCATGCACAGACTCAACTCAAAGTGGATCAAGGACCTAGGAATTATTCCAGAGACCCTATGCCTAATAGAGGAAAAAGTAGACCCAAATCTTCATCATGTCTGATTAGGCCCCAACTTCCTTAGCAAGACTTCTGAAGTGCAAGAAATAAAATCAAAGAATTAATAAATTTGGTGGACTCAAACTAAAAGCTTCTTCTCAGCAAARGAAACAAACAATGAGGTGAAAATAGAGCCTACATTTGGGAACAAATTTTTGTCACATGCATGTCAGATAGAGCACTAATCTCTAGGATATATAAAGAACTCAAAAAACTTAACACCAAAAAAAAAAAAAAAAAACCCAACCCAATCAGTAAATGGGCTAAGGAGCTGGACAGACACTTCTCAGAAGAAGATATACATTCAATCAACAAATATATGAAAAAAATGTTCAACATCTCTAGTAATAAAAGAAATGCAATCACAGCTACTCTAAGATTTCATCTCAAGCCAGTCAGAATGGCAGTTATTAAGAATACAGACAACAATAAATGTTGGTGAGGATGTGGGGGAAATGGCACACTCATACATTGTTGGTGGGACTGCAAATTGGTACAACCAATCTGGAAAGCTGTATGGAGATTCCTTAGAAAACTTGGAATGGAACCACCATTTGACCCAGCTTTCCTACTCTCGGGTCTACACCCAAAGGACTTAAAATCAGCATATTACAGTGACACAGCCACATCAATGTTTATAGCTCAATTCACAATAGCTAAACTGTGGAAGCAACCTAGATGCCCTTCAATAGATGAATGGATAAAGAAACTGTAGTACAAATACACAATGGAATATTACTCAGCATTAAAAGAGAATAAAATTATGGCATTTGCAGGTAAATGGATGGAGTTGGAGAATATCACGCTAAGTAAGCCAATCCCCAAAAATCAAAGGCTGAATGTTCTCTCTGATAAGTGGATGCTGATCCATAATGGTGGGGAAGGCATGGGAAAAATGAAAGAAGTGTGATTGGGCAAAGGGGAGAGAGGGGAGAAGAGAGGGGGTGGGGGCAGGAAAGATGGTGGAATGAGATGGACATCATTACCGTAGGTACATGTATGACTGCACATATGGTGTGACACTACATCATRTACAGCCAGAGAAATGAAAAGCTGTGCTGAAATTGTGTACAATGACTCAAACTGCATTCTACTGTCATGTATACCTAATTAAAATTAATTAATTAATTAACAAAAAATAAAATAAATAAATACAAAATAGAGCTGGGGATACGGCTCAGTGGTTGAGTGCCCCTGAGTTCAATCCCTGGTACCAAAAACAAAAACAAACAAACAAAAAAAAACGAGAGAGAGAGAGAGAGAGAAAGAAAGAAAGAAAGAAAGAAAGAAAGAAAAAGAAAAAGCTATAACTGTCTGAACATGTCCTAAATGTTTCATTATAGGTGTGGTCCACTAATTGATCTTTGTAAAGGCCCCCATGTAAGACACACTGGAAAAATTAAAACCATAAAAATTTTCAAGGTAAGGATTGATTATTTTAATTTATAAACACAGCAAACTTAAGTTGAACTAGATAATAGATTTCACTCATATCTTTTCTAGCCTTAACATCACAATATTTTAAATTTTTCATTCTTATTTGCCTAATATATTTTAGAATTTTGATAATTAGACCACTACATATAGCTTATTTATAATTTAACTTTATATAAAGTATTCTAATGCATTTTTTATATTATATTTTAAAATACTGTTAAAGTTGCAACACTATCTCCACAAGTTTCACAGTTGTTGATTTAATCAACTGCAGAATGAAAATATTTGGAAAAGAATTGCTTCTATACTGAGCATGTACAGATTTTTTTTTTGGTCATTATTTCCTAAATAATACAATCTAACAACAATTTGCATAGAATTTGCTTTGCTTCAAAGTATGCAGGAAGATGATTTGAAGTATACACATAGCTTTTATGCCAATTGTAAGCCAATTTTATTAGGGACTTGAGCATCCTTGGATTTCAGTATCCATGGGAGGTCCTGGAACCCCCTGCAGATACTGAGGGACAAACTGCACTGTGGTTTTCTTGAATCACCCAAAGTGAATAAGAATATTTGTCTGCATGTGAGAATAACATGCTGTAGGAAAAAGGAGAACCAGGGAATGTGATGGTGTGATATGGAATCAGAGGTGTGGGACTGACTCTGCAGTCCCAACCTTTCTGGGTCTTGTTTTCCTCACAGGTGAAATACAGGACTGCATGATAACATTACCTTTTAAAGCTCTTAATCCCTGCGCTACATCAGTGAGGCCAAGATGCCCTTCCCTGGACCTCCTGTCTCTTCTGCTCCCCTCTTGGTGATTGCAGTTGCTGTTCAACTTTCCCACCATCCAGCTTCCTGTCACTTTGATTCCTAGAATCCAGAGCAGACTCTTTATGTCATTTACTGACTAGTGCTATCATTTGGGCTGGGATAGTTTAATTAGAATCAATTTCAGATTCTTCCCAATATTACAAAAAAAATCTATAAGCATTGTGGATGTTATGGTGGAAAATTATGTACTATGTTAGAGTGATTTTATTTGTAACCAAATGTTTGATGTGTTTACCAAAATCTTATTTGGTGTTTATTTGGTGTTTAGAATTCCTCAACATACTGGGAGGGAAATCCTGAAATGGAAACGTTGCAGAGGATCTATGGGATATCCTTTCCTGATAACAAAATGATGAAAACCTGGGAAAAGTTCCAAGAGGAAGCCAAGAATCGTGATCATAGGAAAATTGGGAAGGTATGCCCCCCATCCTCATCAGTACTAAGACACAAACATTCCTTTGTTGCCTTGAGTTTACATCTCATAAAACTAAATTTAAAAAATTATATTTCGCTGTCCTATTTTCTGCCTTCTGTTTTGCTGGCATTCATTGCCTGCTGTTGAGTTTTTTCATATTAATACCCCAAATACCTTCTAACCTCTTTCCTCCCTGTATCTTTTATTAGATTTTAAAAATTGTACTGCTTTCTTATTTTTATCATGAAATTATTTTTTAAAATTGTGTACACTCCATAGACTGCATTGTATTTAGGAGTCAAGGGCAGGTGTAGAAAGAAGGATGAGATTTGAAAGCAGGTAGACCTGGATTGTTAATCTCAATCCTGCCACTTATTAGCTTTGTTGTGATGGGCAAGGTATTCACTTATGAAGCTCCCTGCCTGTCCTTGTCTGGGGTAACCTTGCAGGTTGATGTGAGGACAGATGCAGGGGTAGCTGAAAGCCATGAGAAAGAATGACCATCATCACTTGAAGCACACCTCCTCTGGTGGAATGTTCTGGTCTTTTTTAAAGCCATGTTTTTCCACGTAAGATACGTGTTTAAGTGTAACCAAGTAAAAAATTATCATTAAGTGAGAAAGATGACAGAAAAGCCAAATTAAAGACTAAGTAATCATAAGAACGAATTGTCATTTTACATGTGGTATTATGGATGGTTAGGGATAAGTACTGAGAGTCTTTGGAATGCCTATTATTAGAATATGGGAAGATAACTGAGTATGATTTATTGTTAGCATATCATGTGTATGTGATGAATATTATTCGACAAAAGATGAAATTTGAAATGCAATTATTATTTTAATCTAGGAACAAGAACTTTTCTTTTTTCACGATCTGAGTCCTGGAAGCTGTTTTTTCCTTCCCCGAGGAGCCTTCATTTATAATACACTTATGGATTTCATACGAGTAAGTTTAAATTTTTAAAATGTTTTATTCTTGTTCAACTACATTTTACATTGTACTATTTTCTCTCTTATTTAATTTACATTTTACTATTTTCTCTTATATTTAAATTATTTCCATTAATTTTATTTCAGTAATATTTATAAAAATTTTTGAACTTAAAAGAGAAATAAATAAATAAATTTTTGAACTTAAAAGAGAAATAATAGATTGTGTCTTCTAATAAAAATATGTAGCTGATTTTTGTTTTCTCTAAATGCTGTTTGATTTCATGAAATGTTGATCATATAAATCTGTAGAACTTTAAGATAAACATTAGACCAGGTATGGATTTTCCTGTGAAAGAAGGAAGGGGAAAGTATTCCTCTCTGGCACAAAATGCTAAAGTGGAAAGCATTGCTTCTCAAAAGGTGGCCTCTGTTGGCCACTGGTGGTTTGACAGCCTTAGAGGAAAGGGTAAAAAAAAAATCTGTAAAATACCTACCTTATAATAACACAAGTTCATAGATTGGAAAGTCATTAGTATTTGCATAATTAGGACTGTAGTGATTTTGTTCAGAGGTGATTCATGTGGTCTACTAGGATTATCCTTTCATTTTCATATGACTTATTTATCTTATGACTAAAAGTTACAATGATGCACTGCATAACAATGTTTGAATCAGTGACAGACTATGTGATGATGATTCTATAAGATTATATTGCCCATAATATAATGGACAGTTATGGTGCAATAAGATTATATTGTAGCTATCTTAGTTTGTTTCAGTGTCCTCTGTGATTTCCTTACAAAGAAATAGCATTTCTCAGACTGTAACCCTGTCATTAAATAACACAATTGTACCTAAAATTTTTAATTAATTCATTTATTTTTTTCTGGTTTGCTTAGTATATTGAACATCTTTCTAAAATAAACTATGAGAAAGCCATTCTAATTCAATGGAAGAGATGCTGAAAGATTCAAGATTAACATCCATTATTAGCAATGTAAAATGGAGGGAAAGATCCGTGAATTGGGCTCGTAGAATTCTGCCCCCATGGGAGATGGAAGGGTCAAGCCGAAAGCCATCAATGGGAAAGATGAAGAAAGATGGACTCTCAGGGCAGGGGTTTCTGGCTAGAAGCTGTTCCTTGCTCACTGGGTCAATTTTTTCTCCCAGCCCCCTCAGGCTGATTTCTAGGCTAAGATGGTGGAGATGGTGTTGTGGCGGGCTGAACCCAGGGGTAGTGCTGAAAAGCTTCCTGAGTCACGCTTGGCTCAGGCTTCTCCAGGGAAGTTGGACAGAGGGAAAGGAGGTGCTGGCACCAAGCGAGGGCTTGGTGCAGGGCTCTGGAAAGTTCGTAGGACCTGGAGGTCCAGGTGGCAGGACACACCTGGATAGCAATGAGAGAGAGTCTGCAATGCTCATATAGCAGTCCAAACCCTATCTTGCATAAGCAGATGGAGTCTGACAAAGACTTGMCCTAACCTGTCTCCCATGTGGGACTGACCTAGCCCTATTAAGCCCTTGGTAGGCAGCCTGGGAGAGCGGGGATCAGGGTAGCCCCGTGTTGGACAGGACACTATGGGAGACAGACTGCATGTAGTTTCTGGCTCATCTCCATCCCTCAAAGCTTTTGGACATGCACACAGCTGGAGGAGATGTCACTGGCGGAGAACTATGGAAAGCTCCCTCTAGTGAGACTGGTCAGGGGTGGCAGGGTGGGGGTGGGGACTCCCTTAAGAAAGCAGCTGAGGAATGGAGGGATCGGGATTTCCAGAGACTTCAGAGATGATGCCTGGTCTGATAGGAACCGTGATTTAATGCTCCGACTTGGGGCTAATTTGCTGAATGAGGTAGTTCCATCCTGACCTCTCTGGGCAGGGTTGGTCAGGGAAGACAGAAAACAGGCCTTCCCAAGACCCACGAGGATGAAAGTGGCCAAGAAAAGCCAGATTTGGGCTCCCAGAACGCAATGAGAAAAATAGAGAGAGGGCCATAAAGGATTCTAGGCGCAAGCTGAGCTGACGGCGCCTTCTATCCATGATTCTGATCCTGACATTGGCTTGGAGGCAGAGACAGCCCTTCCCTGATCTTCCAAAGCCCCGGAGATAAAGGGACCAGCTGGAGGATGGGCTTTGAGGCATCCAAGAGCACAAGTATGTGACGGCCACCCCTAAGGAACTCAGCAGGGACCACAAAGTTCCAGCCTCAGTTTGTTCTCAGAGCAACAAGCACGGCACAGGGTTTGGGGGGGGGGCTTCAGTCTTGGAGACAAGGGTGGGGTTGCAGGTCTGTCTTCTTGGCCTGGGAACATTTGG